CCGCCTGGCTCATCAAAGAAGATGTTCTCTATAATAGGAATTTCGTCACATTATGGAGATATAGAGATGGACTGGTGGACTAATTACATGTAGTTCTTATTTAGGCATGTCAGGGTGATAGGTCGTGCTGTATGTGAATTGGTGACTGCATTAAGTGTTTTGAAGTTAGGTTAGATTAGGAAGGTAAAGTTTAGGTTATAATGTATCGAGTTGTTAGTTTATGTTGCCTGCAGACTGTTTTTGTAAAATTAAAATCCTGCGAAAAACACTTCAAATTACGATTTCAAAAATGCAAGCAGTTTTATTTTATAATTAAAATAGTTAATAATAGATATTATTAATCGATATTTCCAATCGATATCTTTAATCATTGGCTTAGCTCAATTAAGAAACTGTACCTTACTCCCCTCCTCTAAGCTCTTGGACTCGTCCTTCTGCTGACCAGACCAGAAATGAAATGTCAAAAAATGGCTTGTTAACCTCGTCCCGCTATCAATTTTAGCAAACTTTAAACGCGATTTTGAGGGTGAAAACGGCGTTTCCCCCAAAAGTGTTAAATGTAAAAAGTGCTCAAAATAGTCTAATTTAGGTAAATAAAGAAAAAAAAAGTCAAAATAACATAAGTAGTAAAAACTCAGTTTTACCAATAAAAGTTGTTACCCTAATAAAACCATGTTAACTCATGTTTAAAATTGTTCTTGTGCACACACAACTCTAGTCAAAAAATGTAGTGGATCATGATAACGGTGCTTGTATTTCTGTTGCCGTTTTCCCTGCATGATGATGGACATAGTTATTTTTTTAAAAGCATACTTCTGTAGCAAGAAAAAGAACTACAAGTTCTCACTGGTGATGTAGGAAAAAAATAGCACAAATTCCATAAGTAGATTTTGCAGTATAAACAGTTGTAAAGTTTTATGAAACCTGAAAAAAGAGATAAACCAAGTATGTATTTTTACCCTCCTGGCCCTACTGTACTATTGCAGATATTTACTGCATTTTTGGTTAAAGTAAAATTTATATAATGAAGGAAGTACAAAGAAGATTTTAGGGGTCATTTTGTAAAATGTAGCCTATTATGTAGGCCTAGTTTGGTATTAAAGAATGGTAAATGATGGCTTGTTAATAAACTTATCCATAGTTGAATACGATTTTGTCTATTTGACTGGACTTTAAACACATTCTCAAGCATTGAGCAATAATATGAAATCATGTAGTTATTTATATGTTTGCTATGACTATACTAAGTGGCTGGCATTGTAAAGTCTCGCTCTAATTGTCGATACCTAGAGAGCACAAACAGTTTCAGTTTGTGTTAGTTTCACATTCCCCTTAGTTTAGGGGGACTTTGGCCGTTTTCCAATCACTTTGGCTTCGAAGCCGAACAAGTAGGGGTAAAATTCCACACACGTTCTCAGCGACAGAACTGGCTCAAGCTTATAGAACAGGATTACTGTAAGTGGAAACTTTCTATATGCATCACACGCCTAGTGGATTTTATAAGATTGCAAATATTGAATGTCACATTGAAATCAGTGACGGGATCTGAATTGTATAAAGTAATTGAATGAATATAGTAAGAACACGTATATTTAGTTTTTTATTAAGTTGTGTATTATCAAAATCAGTATTCAACTTATATTTACGTCTTCAACAAAACCACTGTAATACTTCAAAGAAAGCAGTAAGCTGTAGGTATGAAGTTGCCATGTTTGTATTTATATGATAGGTATAATCGTACCACGTCCGAAAATATATAAATGTTTTTTATAAAAGTGTGATGCACTGAAGTAGGCCTAATAAATGATTTATTATGAACATAGATTACATTACGTTACCTACCAAACGATTATAAATATTATTTAATTAAAGCATAGCCATTTGGTCTAATCGATTTGTTATAATTAAAATCCACAAACATACTTTATCTGCAAAACCTCATTCATCTGTGATTAAAACCCGTTTGACTGATATTAATAAAAAAATTTAAAGAGTAATTGGAATATTGTGTTTTGATTGAAAATGTTATTTTGTAGTTTTTTTTACTGTAAAATTAAGGGGTTTCGTTTGCTTAAAACTGTATTGAGTTCAAACATTATATCTCCTATTGAAAGATTAATCTATTTATGAAATAGCTAACAAACAGCTTGAAAGATGTGATAGTAAATTGTAATATAATGAAATATTTCATTGATAAAAGCGTAAAAAGAATACGGAAACAAGAGGTTTTGATCTAACAGCTGTTGTTGGTAAAAATAAATTTTTTTTTAAATTGCTTTCCCACAAAATGTGAAAAATACCTGAACGACTAAACTTTTTACAATTAAAATACATTGAGAAATGCATTTATTTAGTTTACACTGTTTGATAGGGTTTTCTATGTCAAACCGTGTAAAGCACGGCCGCAATCAAAATTACTTAACTATTTACACTTTTACTTAGTTAGGAAACAGAACTTATTTTAAGGACGTTTCTTCATTGGTGATAACTGAAAAGGTATAAAGTAAGAAACCTTTTTTATATTTATTTGAGTGTGAAATCATAAATTTGAATTGAACTGTTTTAAAACTACTGAATCAAAAATGTATAAACATAGCTATCATGAATGGACAGTTTCATTCATAATTTAACGTCGATAACGACGAGCTCTTGAAGTTCCCGGATTGACCACACTGATCGTTGGCAGCACCTTCCGTTAAACAAAACTACCGACTTTGGCACTATGACTATATTTTGGCGTTTCTCACTAAAAGTTTTACTAAAACAAAACCACGCCATACAATAGTTTTTGACTGAGTGACTTAAAACCATTGGAATGGGTCGTTACAAGACATTTCAGTAGTTACAGACTGTTAGGTTTCTCAGTCTACGATACACATTTTAGATTTGTTGCTCAAATAAATTTAGAAAACGATATCTTTTATTTTTACAGATAAGATATACATTAGGGGTTTAAATAATGTTACAAAACTTTTATTCGTTGACAGTTAAACAGTGTTTAAAAAAGGAAGTTAAATTCTTTATTTTTTTTTACTACTGTTATTATTTCTGTTATATTTTATGTCGATATTACATATTTTAGACGGTCCTACAAAAAACATTGTGTGCACTAAGTATGTGCATTTATGGTAGCCTAATACTCATCATAAACTTTAAAACTGAAATATTTTCAGTCAAAAATAATGTCTAGGGAGTTGTAGCGTTTCAAAAGAGTGGTTTATCAGTACAATTATTGTTCATATACTTTATTAATGAAGACCAGTAGAAATAGCAGTACAAAATTGTTGCTATACTTTATTATACTATTATTACTATTTTTCAATATTCAGTATATTCTTACACTTAACGTTATGCGTATGCATAATACCTTGACTATTAATACAACAACTTCTGTATCCAATAGTGTACATATTCATTGATTGGCTACTGATGATGAAGTTCGGTGAATTTGCCACCAGGGACGACACTAGCTGTCAACTCAGTCTACGTTACCGACGCCTACAACTATATAACTGCCGAATGTGTTTTAAAAAGAGAATGTTCACGTTTTTGAGGATACACTAATTTTATAATATGCCGATAATACACTACAGTGCTATATAAATTTAGGTTGTTTGTTTTGAATTTAGTGAAGTAAAAGTTAGCTTACATTTGAAAGTATGTTTCTTAAAGAAAAATTACTAACACTAATAAAACCGCATCATGAATTTATTTCCGAACTTTTCCCTCCTCAAATTTTGTGGAATCGTCACTTCTTGGAATTGTCATTTAGACTTATTGATTCTACAAAGGGACTAACGTATGGTGGTCTTCTACAAGAAAAAATCTAGAAATCAAGTTGTTTTATATGTTTAGGATGATCTGAGTATTCAATGTTTTGAATGTCACATTGGCGTATTTAAGTTCCAAAAGTGTTCACATATAACAAACTATGTCATTTATTTAGGTACTGTAAGAATTTTTTTCTTATACAGGGTATATCTCTATTTTACAAAATAACAAACAATTTTATATTGGAAGCGAACATTTAATGGGCAATGGATGACAATGATACGGCCCATTTTCGACTTGGACTCTGATTAAAGTTCTTGCTCAAAATATTCTCAGCTTTACAATATCGTATAAGTTTTTAATATGTTTACGTTTAGAGCTCCCCAACCTAAGGGTTGAAAAACTGTTGAAAAAAAATGTTGAAAAAGACAAAACATCATTAAGTAAAATTTGTATCAATTTTCTGTATTACATTATTAAAACAAACAATTTCTAAATTAACATTTGGATCGTATCTTTGACTATTGATGGATTTAAACATTACATTTCTATCTTTAACAATTAAATGAACATAGTTGAACTTAACCACCGGACTGATTTAGGCGTAAATTAGAGATTTCTGCCACACACGCTAACTTTTTAACCAAGTAAAACTGAAAGAAGACTCGTTGAAAGCTATTGCATCTTTTATGTCACATCGAATGTCTCAGACTACGTGAGTAGCTTATTCAACCGTGTAGTTAAAAAAAATCTGAACTTAGCTAGCGTTTAAAATTAATAGATTAAATTTTTAGTTAATAAATAAGGAAACCAATAAACCAGCTGATTAATATTAATATTAAATTATACTAAATCGTTGTTCTAATGCATACTAAATTTATATTCAGCTTACTATAGCATACTATAGTAAAAACTATTTAACATTTCTCCCAGGGGGGTTTCTCAGGTCATCAGCTTCACCAGTTTGGTTACATGTCTCCTCCAGACTTCGGTGGCTGTTCGAACGTCCGCTACTCTAACTTGGCCATCTCGCCCAGGGTGTAAATTCATTACGTATAACTAGGCTATAGCTGGTCCTTATAGTCTGGATGTCTATTTTAGTGTGCTTCAATCAATAGTCGGCTCTACAACAGTAAAGTTACAAAGATATAATGAATATTACTAATTTCCCTGTGATACCAATGCTGTTAGCTAAATGTCTCCTAATCTTCTGTCCCTCTTGTCTGTAGGTGTACTACACCATGACCTCCTCGGCAGTGCTCGGAGCTGCCACAGGTACGGGCCTCGCCCTCCTGGTGGCCATGACCATAGTGGTCTACCGCTACTACTCGTCCAGGCGCTGGGGCAAGGAGTGGAACTACAAGGGGTCGTGGACTGCCGGACCTGCTACTTACTACTACCGCAAACAACAGCAACAGCAGCAGCCCTACGTTACTACACAGAAGGTAAGGGAAATTTTGAAAATAACTTATGCGTCGCGGCTTTGAATGTAGATATTAGAATATATCACACCGTAACAAAGATGGCCACTGACAGAGCCTACTGCAGCCAATTAGAGTTACTGATTATTTGTGTCTTTTACCGACATTTTAATCAAGCCAAACCGTAAAAATAAAGAACTATAAGGTATATTTTAGGTCCCAAAACTTATCAAGTATCTAAAAAATTTGATAATAGGACTGTATACTCAACTTTGTTTCCTGTAAGTGAAATAAATTACAGCTGGTACCGATTGATAGGATCTAGGATGTATACTTCAGTATTCAAAACAATTGTTTGAAGTCGCAATACTATGAGTTTTACTTGGTTTACTTCCTATCTTCACTATTGATGAGATATGACATGTACTACAGAACTGGATGGCCTCTGTTTTACACCTCCCAAGTATTAAATTAGTTACTTTTAGAAATAGAATATCACGATTCAAAATGTAGAATTTCATCAACTTCGGGAAAAATTGGAATAGATGTGTGCTAATCATAATGAGATTACATGAAGTATTCATCGATCTGATTAAATGTGCAGTACACAGTTGGTATTCATTGAAGCTATGGCGAAATGTTTTGTTCTCTTTAATGTATTTATTTTTGTGGAATTCAAAGTCTAAGTACCCTCTCAAGCAATCTTCTACGTGTTAAAGTGATTTTGTTGCTAGTTAAATTTATTTATATATGGGTTTAAAAAACTAGATACAATATTGAACTTTAAATGATTACTGCTACCTCATTTTTGGAATGCTTTGCTTTGAGTGGTCTTTATTACATAAAACACCCAAATTTTCGAGTAGTTTCATCGGTGTAGATGGAAGAAAGATAGAGTTTGGCAAAGATATAAAATGTCGGCCATCATGTTTAGTATTAATTTTAAGAAAGATATTTTTTTTCTTAAATTACCAAATACAATTACTTTATTTTATATTGATGAAATTCACTTTGAGAACTAATTTAACGAACGACTTTTCTAAATAAACAACAAAAACTATTTTCATAACATTTATTTACGCTCTAGTAAACAAGGAGCGGCTCAGATGCTATGTAGTTTGACAGTTTTCCGTTAGGTTGCTCCAAAACACTGACTTACTGGGGTATCTACTTTACCACTTACGTCAGTAAAGAAGTACAAAAACGCAGTAAAACTATTTGTTCCCCGAACACATCAAGCCCAAATTTTGTCTTTTCTTTCGCAAGCTAATAATAAATTATACAACAATATAATACGTAGCACACAGAAAGAAGGTAACTCCAATTTTGTAATTAAGTTCACTATTATTGTATTAGTTTATTTTGTTTGAAAATTGCTTTCAGGAGTACTTAAGTACGGAAAGAGTTTTTGTTGGGGAAAATTGTTGATATTACAAAGGATACCAAGCAGCTTAGGAAATATATTTCGTTTTTACAAGTTTCACCTCCAAATTACTCATTCGCTTTATTTGAACTTGGATTACTAACAACACGTAGGTACATATTTGCTACGCTAAGAATTACAACAAAGGAAATAGAAATAAAGAAATAGAAATCTGTAACATTTCGGAAATATAGTTTTCAAAATAGAAAGTTCACATTTATGTTATAATAAATTATGACCTGCCACACTGCATAAAAAGTGTTCCCATTGTACGTCTACGTGGGACTTAATTTGGATTTAAAACTCCATCCCCTCACATAACCATTGTTGAGCTCATCTTATGAGCAGCGAATGTTTTGAAGGTTTTTCATTTATAATAAACTACTTCCCAATCGATATGTAAGTATTTATTATTTGTTTGTTTGAATCTTTGTCTTTAAATATATTTTAGTTATTTTGTTTATTTCCTTAGTCTATTATTACAAAATCTATTTCATTGCCTTTTAAATTGTGGTTATTTTAATTGTTTTTAACCTTTGCTAATGTATTATCAAAGATATTAAGTGACGTTTATTTAACATGAAACAGACCAACCTTTATGTGTTTTAACAACAACAAAAATACCCATCCATAATTAAATATATTGATAAATATAACGTTGGAAATTATGATTAAGGCCTTCACACCAATCCTTTGAATTAAATTACGAGTGTTCTAACCCCTCTGCCGACTCATGTACCAATATATCTTTTAGGATACTTATACTGCTGTCATGCTGTCACTAATACAACGTTCTTACTAATCACATCAAACAAGATATCATTAGTTATATTATTTATACTTCACACAAAAATGATGCCAATTGAATTGCTATTTTCACCAACAAAGAATAATTTTTCATATTTGGCACAGTAACACACTATACTCGTAGTAATACAATTTACGAATTAAAGTACGTTAAACCACACTATTTAGCGATTAAACACATGCCCAAAAGAAACTCAACTATAATGTTCTAACAAGCACAGGAATATGACCCTAATGTAACAGGAACCGAGGGGGCCGAAGTTGGAGTAGATCGGTGGACTAGGAAATTGAACAGAGATAGTTTGAATCGCACCGAACTACTGGCACAAAGGCGTGTACGGCAGAAGGTTTTTGTCATACATCGGATGTAGTACATCCCTTATGGAAAAGCAGGATAAGTCGATTAAATCATAGATTCACATCTTACAGTAAAATTGTACCGAAAATTAACTAAAAACAACCACTTGAAATCTCCAAGGTATCCTGTGAGGTAACCATCCTCTGGAAGAGACCTACGTTCTGCAAGTGTGCACTGGAGTGTTCATGCCGTCACACCGTTAGCCCTATTACCCCTTAAGGCCCAGTCAGCTGTGTGACCTTACAAGGGCTCCATGGGGTGGTGGGGGGGGAGGGGGGAGGGCGCGGCTGGTGGCGATTGAGAGAAGTTCATGCTGACCTCAGCAAATCAATACATTATCGTCACAAACTAAGATGACTACCACTTGTTGCTTGAGGCAGTCCTTATTTGACTTTGGAAATGCTTTAAAGTAATCATATTGTGTGAGTCTCAAATAAAAGCTGTACATTAAAGGTGGTAGTTTGTGGTTCTTGACTTAATACTCGTTTGAAAGTATTACATTTAATTTATGATAAGAATATACATCGATTTTGAACGAATTATTGAGTATCATTACGTGAGGATGTAGTTAACGGTGTTGGTTTACAAAGTTGGAATCATAAAGAGGCTTATTTTAATGTTATCAACAGTCATCTTTCAGGTTTAGAACTTCATTTCTAGCTTTTCCATGTATTATATTTAAATTAGTTTTGTATAATTATTTATTGCTTTGAGGTTGATTTTTCAATTTTCGTAGGATTATGTCAACATTTCTACTACGGTAAAATTGCATATTACTGTACTTTTGTGTTTAATTATGGGCCGGAGAAAAAGGTTTTGAGATGATTTCTTAGTAATCCATAAAAAGATACAATAACGATAAGCGTGCTAAAAATAGCCATGTTTCTGACATTCAGTTCTAAGAAACACTAGATAAAATGAATGTTCTTTTTCTAATCAGGGTTTACATACTCTTTTGTATGTATTTTCGTAATAAAAAGTGCCAAACCTAAGTATCTTTATCTTTACACGTTCCCATAGCACATAGAACATTTTTATTTAATCTTAAACTTTTTCTTCAATTTCAAATTAGCTCAAAATATATATATAATTTTTAACAACTCGAGTCTACGCACAGACCACTGAGGTCCATGTAGACTCATTTCTATTATCTATTACATTAGTTATTATTCAAGCCGGAGCAAACATTCAACTAGTATTTAAGTTTTTACTATTATGACTTTATAAATTTAATTTTACTAGAATTAATTTACGTAATCAATTTACTCTATAATGCTTCAAGACTATATATATTTGTATTTTATGTTTTTGAAAAATTGTAAACTTTTATATATTGTGGAAATGAAACTGATTTGATTTGATATGAATGAATTAAAACTACTTCAAATCAACGTCGATCGATATTTACCAACTAGTAAAACGAAGATAGCTGCGAACCTTAAAAAATCTCCTGGAAAACGATTAACTGTTTAAAATAGTTTTTTTTTATATATTGGAAAAGTTTCCATTTGAAAAAGATTTTCAGTTTTTTCAGTAATTTTTAAGAGCACATGATCCCATGTGATTTTTTAAAACACATACATTGCTCAACATTCAATATAAATTAGTGTTACAGTGCAACGGCTACATTACACTAATAATGATGCTTACCAAACATTTGAAAATAAATTGGAACCTAATCCTCTCATTGATCTAGTTTTTTTGTAAAATTAGAGTATCTAATTTTGAAACACTTCCAAAAGTATACAATTTCACTCAAATTGCCCTATCCGTGATAATACAAGAATTCCCTTGAAGAGATTATTTTTAATTCTTCGGCGCAAAAAGTGAGCTGGATGATATTTCTGAGAAATATGTTTAAGGTTGAGAAAGTTACTAAAAGAAATTCATTAACTTTTTAGCTTCAAGAATAACAGTGGAAGTTATTTGTTTTACTCTCTCGTGCCGTTAAATTTAGACAGTCTGTTATTAAATTTTACTAATATGTTGACTCCTTATTATTGTTACTGAAAAGTATTTTTTATTGCTAATGAAAATTCAAAAACGTATCTATTTGACAAAGTTTTCTTAAAATATTAAGTTTCTAAACAATATTTTGTATTCCTTATAGCCGCAAACATAAGTAGTCTTTGAGTCTTGTTTTTATCCTGGTTTGGATTTAAGTTTATATTTTAAATTATTACAAACTTGTAAAAAACAACTTAACAAATCAACTAAAATTCGCTTAGTCTACTGTTTCTATGGGACGGGTGTGTTTAATTCTGTGTTTAATTAGTATTAATTCTACTCAATGTACTAGTACATAAACCATAATCATTTGTAATGATACCATAGAACCATCATCCAAACAATATGTTCAAATAAATACTAATCAATTTAATGAAAATAGGCTAAATGAAATTTCTTGCTTAATGCAAGCTAACATGTATTGTATAC